GTTACCCATATTCTTCAAAATATATATTTTATATTCAACAGAAGCAGAAGAAGGAAAAGTGAGTAAGTAATGGCAGAATTAAAATTTTTGGTCAAACTATCTCTTTAACATATTTAGAGATCTACCTCTAGAAAATTCAGATGAGAAAGCAAAGTAAAGCAAGTTCATGCAGTTGAGTATCATCCTATGTTACAGCTGAGAAACTCCAACTCTGTTTGCTACTCTGAGGTTTATACAGCTTTAAAAGTGCCAACAAAGTATTTGAAGGTGCAGAAAAAACACTAAAAACTCCCAAACAACAGACATACTAATATCCCCAGTGGAGATGTGAATGATGCTTGGGAAAGATGTGTAGGAGGTCTTTAACCTCTAGTCTCTGTTATGAAATACTGTTATCTGTGTTGGCGGCGTGGGTGCTGATGGCAGCCCGCTCAATAACATCTGCATGTGGACCAAAAAATATATATATATATATCAAACACTCGTGAACCATTTTCAACAATCCTGAACAGATCTTTGGGTGGATTAATATTCTAGAATGCATAAAATATGCTATGAGTTTTTTAGATGCCTTGGATGAGACACTGACGGTGGATGGCCCACATTGCCTAGTGGTTCCCTTTCATGGGAACTTCGAACTGCGTCCTCTAGGGGTCGCTATGGGGAACGCCTCGTCGTGACCCGTGTCTGAAGCATACATTGAAAAAACACCAACTCGTTGGCCGGCGACAGCCATGACGTCACTACCGGTGCGACTATAGTATAAATAGGCGCCGGGAGCTACACATCATTCACTTCTTCATCTGAAGCTTGCGTCCGCAGCATGGCAAGAAACCTAGAGGACGCAGTGTCTCGTTCCCTACTCAGGGAACCATGGTTACATAAGTAACCTGAGATGTTCCCTTTCATGGGAACTTCGAACTGCGTCCTCTAGGGGTCGCTATGGGGAACGCCTCGTCGTGACCCGTGTCTGAAGCATACATTGAAAAAACACCAACTCGTTGGCCGGCGACAGCCATGACGTCACTACCGGTGCGACTATAGTATAAATAGGCGCCGGGAGCTACACATCATTCACTTCTTCATCTGAAGCTTGCGTCCGCAGCATGGCAAGAAACCTAGAGGACGCAGTGTCTCGTTCCCTACTCAGGGAACCATGGTTACATAAGTAACCTGAGATGTTCCCTTTCATGGGAACTTCGAACTGCGTCCTCTAGGGGTCGCTATGGGGAACGCCTCGTCGTGACCCGTGTCTGAAGCATACATTGAAAAAACACCAACTCGTTGGCCGGCGACAGCCATGACGTCACTACCGGTGCGACTATAGTATAAATAGGCGCCGGGAGCTACACATCATTCACTTCTTCATCTGAAGCTTGCGTCCGCAGCATGGCAAGAAACCTAGAGGACGCAGTGTCTCGTTCCCTACTCAGGGAACCATGGTTACATAAGTAACCTGAGATGTTCCCTTTCATGGGAACTTCGAACTGCGTCCTCTAGGGGTCGCTATGGGGAACGCCTCGTCGTGACCCGTGTCTGAAGCATACATTGAAAAAACACCAACTCGTTGGCCGGCGACAGCCATGACGTCACTACCGGTGCGACTATAGTATAAATAGGCGCCGGGAGCTACACATCATTCACTTCTTCATCTGAAGCTTGCGTCCGCAGCATGGCAAGAAACCTAGAGGACGCAGTGTCTCGTTCCCTACTCAGGGAACCATGGTTACATAAGTAACCTGAGATGTTCCCTTTCATGGGAACTTCGAACTGCGTCCTCTAGGGGTCGCTATGGGGAACGCCTCGTCGTGACCCGTGTCTGAAGCATACATTGAAAAAACACCAACTCGTTGGCCGGCGACAGCCATGACGTCACTACCGGTGCGACTATAGTATAAATAGGCGCCGGGAGCTACACATCATTCACTTCTTCATCTGAAGCTTGCGTCCGCAGCATGGCAAGAAACCTAGAGGACGCAGTGTCTCGTTCCCTACTCAGGGAACCATGGTTACATAAGTAACCTGAGATGTTCCCTTTCATGGGAACTTCGAACTGCGTCCTCTAGGGGTCGCTATGGGGAACGCCTCGTCGTGACCCGTGTCTGAAGCATACATTGAAAAAACACCAACTCGTTGGCCGGCGACAGCCATGACGTCACTACCGGTGCGACTATAGTATAAATAGGCGCCGGGAGCTACACATCATTCACTTCTTCATCTGAAGCTTGCGTCCGCAGCATGGCAAGAAACCTAGAGGACGCAGTGTCTCGTTCCCTACTCAGGGAACCATGGTTACATAAGTAACCTGAGATGTTCCCTTTCATGGGAACTTCGAACTGCGTCCTCTAGGGGTCGCTATGGGGAACGCCTCGTCGTGACCCGTGTCTGAAGCATACATTGAAAAAACACCAACTCGTTGGCCGGCGACAGCCATGACGTCACTACCGGTGCGACTATAGTATAAATAGGCGCCGGGAGCTACACATCATTCACTTCTTCATCTGAAGCTTGCGTCCGCAGCATGGCAAGAAACCTAGAGGACGCAGTGTCTCGTTCCCTACTCAGGGAACCATGGTTACATAAGTAACCTGAGATGTTCCCTTTCATGGGAACTTCGAACTGCGTCCTCTAGGGGTCGCTATGGGGAACGCCTCGTCGTGACCCGTGTCTGAAGCATACATTGAAAAAACACCAACTCGTTGGCCGGCGACAGCCATGACGTCACTACCGGTGCGACTATAGTATAAATAGGCGCCGGGAGCTACACATCATTCACTTCTTCATCTGAAGCTTGCGTCCGCAGCATGGCAAGAAACCTAGAGGACGCAGTGTCTCGTTCCCTACTCAGGGAACCATGGTTACATAAGTAACCTGAGATGTTCCCTTTCATGGGAACTTCGAACTGCGTCCTCTAGGGGTCGCTATGGGGAACGCCTCGTCGTGACCCGTGTCTGAAGCATACATTGAAAAAACACCAACTCGTTGGCCGGCGACAGCCATGACGTCACTACCGGTGCGACTATAGTATAAATAGGCGCCGGGAGCTACACATCATTCACTTCTTCATCTGAAGCTTGCGTCCGCAGCATGGCAAGAAACCTAGAGGACGCAGTGTCTCGTTCCCTACTCAGGGAACCATGGTTACATAAGTAACCTGAGATGTTCCCTTTCATGGGAACTTCGAACTGCGTCCTCTAGGGGTCGCTATGGGGAACGCCTCGTCGTGACCCGTGTCTGAAGCATACATTGAAAAAACACCAACTCGTTGGCCGGCGACAGCCATGACGTCACTACCGGTGCGACTATAGTATAAATAGGCGCCGGGAGCTACACATCATTCACTTCTTCATCTGAAGCTTGCGTCCGCAGCATGGCAAGAAACCTAGAGGACGCAGTGTCTCGTTCCCTACTCAGGGAACCATGGTTACATAAGTAACCTGAGATGTTCCCTTTCATGGGAACTTCGAACTGCGTCCTCTAGGGGTCGCTATGGGGAACGCCTCGTCGTGACCCGTGTCTGAAGCATACATTGAAAAAACACCAACTCGTTGGCCGGCGACAGCCATGACGTCACTACCGGTGCGACTATAGTATAAATAGGCGCCGGGAGCTACACATCATTCACTTCTTCATCTGAAGCTTGCGTCCGCAGCATGGCAAGAAACCTAGAGGACGCAGTGTCTCGTTCCCTACTCAGGGAACCATGGTTACATAAGTAACCTGAGATGTTCCCTTTCATGGGAACTTCGAACTGCGTCCTCTAGGGGTCGCTATGGGGAACGCCTCGTCGTGACCCGTGTCTGAAGCATACATTGAAAAAACACCAACTCGTTGGCCGGCGACAGCCATGACGTCACTACCGGTGCGACTATAGTATAAATAGGCGCCGGGAGCTACACATCATTCACTTCTTCATCTGAAGCTTGCGTCCGCAGCATGGCAAGAAACCTAGAGGACGCAGTGTCTCGTTCCCTACTCAGGGAACCATGGTTACATAAGTAACCTGAGATGTTCCCTTTCATGGGAACTTCGAACTGCGTCCTCTAGGGGTCGCTATGGGGAACGCCTCGTCGTGACCCGTGTCTGAAGCATACATTGAAAAAACACCAACTCGTTGGCCGGCGACAGCCATGACGTCACTACCGGTGCGACTATAGTATAAATAGGCGCCGGGAGCTACACATCATTCACTTCTTCATCTGAAGCTTGCGTCCGCAGCATGGCAAGAAACCTAGAGGACGCAGTGTCTCGTTCCCTACTCAGGGAACCATGGTTACATAAGTAACCTGAGACGTTTCCTTAATCTCAAAAATGTCATAATAATTCCCACTGGGATTACCTTTCTGCCCTCTTTCTCTGACCATTCAGGAGTGAAATAAAAGGCTTTAATGCCATTATAATCTAAAAACAATGGTTTATTGGCAGACTTGTGTGTCATACCAAACGATTGACCTTATTTTAACACAAAAACACACTTTCAGGCTTTTTTGGAATTCTTTCAATTCTCTCGATTCGCAATTCTCTCGAAATTTTGGATTCCCGTTCAACGCGGGGCTCACTCAAGCGCGGGGCCCGGTGCGACCGCACCATGGCGCTTATCCACTGCATGGTAGGGCATGGTACGGCTCGGTATGGTTCACTTTTGGGGGTTTTTCCACTAGGTACAATACCTGGTACCTGGTACTTTTTTTAGTACCATCTCGGTTGAGGTTCCAGGACGGCCCTGACACCGGCCCTCCAGGACCAAGAGACCCCTGATATATGCAAATACCCTGGAGAATCATTAAAATACTAACAAAAAAAGAAGAAGAAATGTTATATGTCCAAATCATTGTATCAAAGGATGAAAATTAAGGAAGGAAGGAAAGAAAGAAAGAAAGAAAGAAAGAAAGAAAGAAAGAAAGAAAGAAAGAAAGAAAGAAAGAAAGAGAAAGAAAGAAGGAAAGAAAGAAAGAAAAAAGTGGACGGAGGCGGAAATAAACAGGTCACGTGGGTCAGAGGTTGCCAAGGCGCGGTGTGTCTCCATGACAACACCAGTGGAGGAACGTGTCGGTGTACAGCGCGACAGAGCGGTAGGTAATTGAGCGATGCTGATGTAAATTAAACATTACCGAGCTTTAAATGATTTACATGTTTACATTTCTCCATTTCTTTCAGCTGTTTATCAGTCATAGCGTTTTAAGTCCAGGCGTGATGGAGTCGAGCTAGCAAGCTAACGTTAGCCCAGAGATGTTAAAAACAAGCGGGTACTCCACACGTTTGTTTATCTTCAGTTCATACTCATCAGTTTATCAGTTCATTTCAGACAATGACGTGCTGGAGACTGAAAGCTGTATTTCTGTATTTCTGTATTTTTCCTTATTTTTTATTTGTTTATTTGTTTGAATCTTTTTATTAAGTGTGTGTAGAATTCTGGTTCAGTTCTGTTGCACTGTGCACAATTTATTTTTAACAACAGCGTGTTTCTTTTGTATACGTTAAATCTGGTTGTTTTTAATTGAATAGTAGTTGAGTGTTGTGAAATGATTTTACAGTAATTGACCAAATGTAATGACATGGGCTTAAATGAAATGTTTTTGGAAAGAAGTCTCTTCTGCTCATCAAGTCTGCATTTATGTAATCAAAACTACAGTAATATTATTAAATATTATTACACTTTAAAGTAACTCTTTTCTATTTCAGTATATTTTAAAATGTAATTATTCCCACGATGGAAGCTGAATTTTCAGCATCATTACTCCAGTCTTCAGTATCACATGATCCTTCAGGAATCATGTAATGTAGTTTTTAAACTCTTCCCCTTTCCCAACACAGCTATAAAGCTTTAAAATGCCTTATTTACTCCTTGTTGGGGTCCCAATTTTCAAGAATCATTACCAAAAATCACCAGGAAGTATAATGTGTAAATTCATGACAAGACTAGTCTTTTCGTCTGTGTTCATTTTGGTACATTTTCATATTTGATGAGGACAGTAACCCACATTTGCCTTTGTTTATGGACAAACAAATGTGTTCTTCATTCTCCCTCCAAATGCTAAAAATGGGTGAGAATTCGTGGGTGAGAATTTTGAACTAATGTCCTGATTTTCCTTTTCATCAGTCAGGACTAATCCTTCTGTCTCTCTCTTTAGTAAAGAAAAGGATGGCAGAAACGGGTGATGGTAAAAAAGAGGATGCCGACTACAAAAGACTACAAAGCTTTCCGCTCATCAGGGTGGGTGCAGCTCGACTGCTGCTGTGACCTAGATAGATGTAACCAGTTATGGATGTGTCTGTGTTTGTCTGTATTAGATCACTCAAACTGCTCCCTTTTCCATCCTTTTCAAAACATGAGATTTTAGACATCTAGGCCCTTTTACCCCCTTTTTTTTTCTCTCAAGCATAATATATACACTGCTTCTTTATTTGGCATGGTTGACAGTCTTTTTACTGTCTTAATATTTTGTTCTGCCTTGGTCAACTTAACGTAGTTTCTTTTAATATGATTAATACATATATCTTTACATTATTGTAATTCGTAATAATTTATAATAACTTTTTTCTATACACTGCTGTTCAAAAGTCTGGGATCGGTCCAAAACAAAAAGTCTCATGCTCGCCAAGGCTGTATTTATTTGATGAAAACTTTAATATTGTGAAATATTATTACAATTTAAAACAACTAGGCCTATTTTTCTTTTTGAATATATTTTTTATGTAATTTACTCCTGTGAAGGCAAAGTTGAATTTTCAGCATCATTACTCCAGTCTTCAGTGTCACATGATCCTTCAGAAATCATTCTGATATGCTGATTTGCTGCTCAAGGAATATTTCTTATTATCTTTGTTAAAGACATTTGTGCTTTTTAATAATTTTGTGGAAAATGTGATACATCTATTTTAGCATTTTTAATCCTGAAAGTAAATAAAACAAACAAACAAGCAAAAAAAAAACAGTACATAAAATGCGGACAATAATATATTTATCCATCACTTGTTTCATTTATTCCATCTTTTTATTATTTTTTCCCCTAGTTTTAGTTAAATTGTGGCCACAAATTAAGAATTTGTTCCCACGACTTATAAATTTGTTCCCTCGTTTTAGTAAATCGTGGCCACTGGCCACGTTGTCCTTACTCGTTCCCTCATTTTCATTTAATTAAAACGAGGGAACAAATTAGTACAACTTGGCCACAATTTACTCAAATAAGGTAACAAATTCTTAATTTACTTAATTAAATTCTTAATTTTTGATCCACTTTGCTCCATAAAACAGCATTTATTTGATATTAGATTGTTTGTAACAATGTAAAAGTCTTTGTCACATTTGATCAAATAATGTTCTTTTTAGCAGCATCATATGACCCCTTTAATAGATAGAATAGATAGAATTTTCTTGTTACACCTGTAAGAGCTTGAATACAATATGCTCTGTTGGTTTTGTTTGCAGCACACAGATATGCCAGAGGAGATGCGCGTAGAGGCTATGGAGCTTTGCGTCACAGCCTGCGAGAAATTTGCCTCCAACAATGAGGTTAGTCAGGCTTGTGTGTGTATGTGAGCATGTGCTATTGTTATGAAGCACAGGCTTTCAGATAAATGTGTTCCCCAAGCCACACAGGTGGGGTTGGGCTCTGTGTTTCCATTTAGTACTGAGTCAGGACGCTTCACACACACACACACACACACACACACACAAACACAGTCTGGCCATCTGGACTGCTCCAGTAGCCTACATGCTTTCATCTCGCTCTCTTTCTCGCTGGTTCACTCTGTTTTCAGAGTGCTGCCAAGATGATCAAGGAGTCCATGGATAAGAAGTTTGGCAGTTCGTGGCATGTGGTGATCGGTGAGGGGTTTGGGTTCGAGGTGAGCCATGAAGTCAGGAACCTGCTCTACATGTTCTTTGGGGGAAGTCTGGCCGTGTGTGTTTGGAAATGCTCCTGATGTCGCTTCCTGCCCACACAGTCGCCACTGTGAGATATTTATACTCATGGATCTGTCCTAACTATGCAGCCCTATTTGACTTGAGACGTTTGTGTGTATGTGTATGCAAATGTGTGAAATTGGAGGGGAAAAAAGATACAGATTCTTGTGCACTTCTCCAGATCACTCTTTTCCAGTCTTACGTTTTGGCTTCAATTTTAAGACATAAACTCAGATTTTAAGGAGTTTGATTAACTTTTTTACAATTCAATCCATTATAATGCAATGCAATCCATTATAGCATGTTATTCCAAAGAAAACTTTTGCCTTTGTAATCTTTCATCAAAATATATTAACTTGCCCCTACTCTCAAATGACTTAAATTTTTAGTCCATCATATTTTCAATTCCCTCCCAATCAAGCATCTCTCACCATTCTTCATAAATAAACAATGAATGAATGAATTCTGGTATGGAACACCCACTTTAATTGCCAATCAGTTCCAAGTGGATAAAAGTGCAGTCCTAACCTTTTTTTAGCTGTTATTTTTCATTCAGAAATTAATCGTATTACAGAGGTAAAATGAGTTGAGAAGTCTGTTTCACGTTAAAGTTTACATGGTGTACATTATTCAAAAAAACAAACAAAAAAAAGTTTCCTTTTTAATCCATGATCTTGCTCTTCGTTGGAGACAGCTTTCCTTTTCTATTAACATCACTGGCTATGTGTGATATTGAATAATGTTTGCTAATAGCCAAATAGCTATTTAGTCATAGTTTTAGCAATATTGCTTTTGGCTTGGCTCGCTCATCCATCCATCCATCCATCCATCCATCCCTCTACAGTTAAGTCCTGCTCTTGATGATGAATATCCTGTTTCATTCGGAAATACACTACTGTTAAAGGGGTCATATGATGCTTTTACAGCTTGTAACACTCCAAAGAGAAAGGAAAACTTGAAATCGCCTTATATGACCCCTTTAAAAAGTTTGAGGTCGGTAAGATTTCATAAGTTCACTAAGGTTGTGTTTATTTGATTAAAAATAGTCCAAAATACTAATATTGTGAAATATTTTTAAAATTTTAAAATAAGTTTTCTAATTTAATATAATTTATTCCTGTGATGTTAAAGCTGAATTTTCAGTAGTCTTCATGATCCTTCAGTAAGAAATCATTGTAGAAAACAATAATTTTTTTTATTATCAATGTTGAAAACAGTTGTGCTGCTTAATATTTTTGAGGAAACTGCAATACGTATTTTTTCTTGAATAGAAAGAAGTGATTATTTTAAATTTAAATCTTGTGTAACAGTCGTGGGCAGTTGTGGCCTAATGGTTAGTGAGACGGACTTGTAATCTGAAGGTTGCGAGTTTGAGTCTCAGGTCCGGCAGGATTTGTCGGTGGGGGGAGTGAATAACCAACGCTCTCTTCCACCCTCAATACCACGACTGAGGTGAGACCCTTGAGCTAGGCACCGAACCCCCAACTGCTCCCCGGGCGCCGCAGCAATATGGCTGCCCACTGCTCTGGGTGTGTGTTCATGGTGTGTCTGTTCACTACTGCGTGTGTGCACTTGGATGGGTTAAATGCAGAGCACAAATTCCGAGTGTGGGTCACCATACTTGGCCACACTTCACTTTCTTTCTTTTTCACTTTCATAATAAATGTCTTTAATGTGCCCTTGAAGAATAAAAGTATCATTTTCAAAAAAAAAAAAAAAAGAAACCTCTTGACTCAAACCTTGAGTTAACAGAACAGAAGTGTGTCACATTACAGAGGTAAAATGGATCGTGAGCGGCAATATAAACGGTTTAGTGTAGTTTTGAAAGACATCCTTATGTCTATTTCAATGCATTTGTGAGTGGACATACAGTAATGTGCTCTGTAATAACTGAAGTGCCAGTCTGCATTTCGGTCTCTTTGAGGCTCAGAATACTTGGTTGTATTTGTCTGGCAGGTTGTCGTAGGAGTGTGTTTGCTGTGTGAGGCTGTTCAGGACAGAATGTGTGTCGTTGCACTCCATTTCATGTGTCATTTTAAAAATGCATTCCCTCTCTCTCTCTCTCTCTTTCATTCTGTTTCCTGTCCAGCAGTGTCTCTCTCAGTGGGCTGCTCTGCCACCTGTTTCAGATTTCTCTTTCTCTTTCATTGTTCACTCTTTTTTTTCTTTTTCTATCCTTTCATTGTCACCCCAGGAATCTTATACCCTGTACTTTTCCCCTCTTTACTTAACCAGCATTTGTAGAATGTGAACACTTGAACGTGATATACATTTTCAGAACTTGATTTCTGAAGGTTTCTGTTGTCATGCAATAATACAATTAGTACTCTCTCTTTTTTGGGGGGGTATCACGTCACAGCCCTGAATTTCATAAATGCTGAAACCTGTCATTCATCATAATTTGCAACTCTTTACAACCCAAAACCTGTTCTAATAGTCTTTAGCCCTATTTGTATGGTACATTTAAATGGTTATGTAATTACAGAAATTACAGTTGCTTGTTTGTTATTTAACTATGGGAGTAATTTCTGTGCCACAAGTGTTATTAAATGAAATTGCATAAATAGCTGTCATCTGCCAATGGTTGGCCAACTTGGTAGTTCCGCCCACAAACATACACCATTGTTTGAGCCAATGTCATTGTGTCCAGCACTGTCAGGCCACTGATTGCAATTCTAATTAATGCAGCTATGGTGCACATGCTATAGTGAACCCTTTCCTTGAATTGTTTGAGTTCACATGGATGAACAGATGCAAATGTTATTTTAAAAATATTTTTGAATCTTTTTTTATCACTGCTAATTTGAATGGTTGCTTTTTGACACTTTTGATACATAAAACTAACTTGCTGCCAAATTCATGAGTTTGATCAGAGAGGAGGCATGCAAATATGTTGCAGTCATCATCCTGAGAAACAATGTGTAAACAGTGCTTTTGATTTCAACTGAAGTTAAATGCTGCAAGATTTTATCAGAATGTTCCGTCCTTTCCCTGCAATATTTAAATGCAGTAAAAAACAACAACAACAAAAAAAACCTTTAATGACTTTATTATGATCTTTTATTCAATTTTTTATTATTTTCATCAACTCTGTGCAATAATTGCTCTGTTTAGATAAATAAAATTTCAAAAAAGACATGTGAGTCTCCTGATTCTTGAGTACTGAGACAGATTTAAAAACTGAAGACATTTTAGTTGATTATACAAAGGAATTATTTTGAATTAATAAGAGGTATGTGTTTGGGTGCATCTCCTGCTCCAATGTATCACAAATTGGGTTTTCCCTTGCTAAATATTACAGTACTTGGAGTAATGTTTGTTACTCTCAACTCTCATTCCGACGGCCCCCATTCACTGCAGTGAGCAAGTGATCTAATGCTAAATTTCTCCAAATCTTTTCTGATTGAGGAAACAAACTCATCTATATCTTGGATGACCTGAGGGTGAGTACATTTTCAGCAAATATTCATTTTTGAGTGAACTATTCCTTAAAAAGTTACATATTTAATATAAATTTGAATCACTATGAAGTATTAAGCTATGCCACATATTTTGCCCTATGTCTCAAGATTTTTTTCAATCCACAACTGTGCATTAGTACTGATTTGTGAAGTCAGCTGCATTTTAATGGGATTTCCAATGTGTTTTATTCCAATTAGCCTTTGTGCCACTGATGTTATTGACCTTCTAAATCCAGTGGCTTGTTTTATGTTCATATAGGCTTTATCGACAAGCTCCTCCTAATGTCCATGTTCTCTTCTGTCCACCTCATCAAACTCCTTCTATCTGTGTTCTTTTTTTCCTCGATCATTTCTTGCCCAGACATGCTGTTTCCTCTCTTACCACAGCATCTCCCAGTCTGTTCTCTTTCTCTTCTCCTCTCCTCTCTCTCTGAATTTCAGATGAAATTAACCCAGATCAGATGGTGGGCTGGTGCTGTGTGTCTCTGGCTCACACTCCTCATTAACAGCTTGGCTCTCTCTGGGGGACTTGAAAGAGGATTGATGGCAGTGAACGGGATGTGAGGAGAGTGTCAGTGAGGGGATGAGAGTGGGTTTGAGGGATGAATACAAATCAGTTTTAGTTTTTTCCTTTGGTTTCTCTCCTCACTTTTTTTCAGCAATCTGTCTACTACTTCTTATAATACAGTATGCATAGTTCCAGTCCTGGATGCTGATTGGTGAATACACTATGTTTACATACACAGTTATGATAGAGCTACAGCAGGTTTTGTTTTTAGTCTAATTTTTGTTTTAGTCAGTAGTAACGAATGAACTGTGTCGCTCCTAACAGTGACCTTTCACCGTGATTTTATTCACAATACAGCATAACATTATAGAGTAGAATGGTAACTGCCCACTTTTTTTTAGCAGCATTGATTTGGGGAGTATTATTCCCATTCCTTTTCTTTATAGGAATTTAAACTCTCTTACCACAGCATCTCCCAGTCTGTTCTCTTTCTCTTCTCCTCTCCTCTCTCTCTGAATTTCAGATGAAATTAACCCAGATCAGATGGTGGGCTGGTGCTGTGTGTCTCTGGCTCACACTCCTCATTAACAGCTTGGCTCTCTCTGGGGGACTGCAGGATCTGCCTGACATTTTGCTGACCAGGAACATACCGCAGAGAGACGCTGCAGGAAGAGGAATGCAAGCCAAAGATCAGATTCGAAACGAGATCATTAGATAGAAGGAATGCATCACGCCTGAGATTTTATACTACGGTAAAATATGCACTAAAACACGGGGGTAGAGACTAGAGATGGAAGAGAAAAGAGCTGAAATGAATTTGTCATTCATGGTAGAACCTTCCTGGAAAAGAAAAGAGTGTAGATTGAATGGTAGAGATGTAGAGTGATTGATGAAAGGAGAGAGCAGCAGTTGATAGGGATGAAGCAGAATCTTTAATAAAGTTCTTTATAATCAGAGCAAAAGGCAAAGATACTTAATGTCTTTTATGAGAGAATGAACTACAATCCCAGGAAACACTGTAATGATGCAATCGAATAAAAAAAATGACAATATAATATAAAATTACTGATTCATAGTCTTATATATAGGTATAAAACTTATATTTATTAAAATGGACTGCAAAATATTCTTATATTCAATACTGTTCAAAAGTAGTAAGCCTCTTACACTCACCAAGGCTGTATTTATTTGATCAAAATTGCAGTAAAAACTGTAATGTGAAATATTATTAGAATTCAAAATAATGGTTTAATAATGTTAAGATTTTAAAAACGTATTGCTGTCTTGACAAATCAGAATTTTCATAATCCATTATTCCAGTTTTCAGTGTCTCATGATCTTTCAGAAATAATTCTAATATGCTTATTTGCTGCTCCAGAAATATTTCTTATCAATATTGAAAAGTTCAATATCAGTTCAGTCCATACTTACCAAATACATTAGAAGCATTAATTCTTTTAATTTATAAATATGTATTTCTAACTTCTCTTTAAAAAATTACAGACCCCAAGCTTTTGAATTGTAGTGTTTTTTATTTATATTTGTATTTGTATACATACACATATATATGGGGCATATATATATA